GCATTGCATTATTATATACTTTATTATAATGAAAATTATAATAAGAGGAACTCAGATAAATCATATATTGTCGTAGTCGTGTGTTTTTTAGTCACGCTGAATCAATGAAAGCAGTTAAATCTTCTGTTTATTCAGCTAGCGCTATAGGGATTGCCTGGGTTTCTTCTGCGAGGTGTATTTGGAGTTTCTCTGGCCTTCAGATGAAGATTTACTGCTGATCACAGAACCCTGCTTCAACACGCATCGCAGCTTCTGCCTAATCACGGCTGCGGATTCATTTAGATTTATCGTGCAGCCCTATTTAATAAAATGTACGGAATTTAAAAATATGAGACTTTGTTTCATATCAAAAGTAACAAAGCTTATTGCGATTTATTGGATGGGAGCCGCACTACAATGTTCTGTGCTTTGCTATTGCTACAAATATACCCCAGCGACTTAACACTGCTTTTGTGCTCCAGAGTCATAAATGTGCAAAAACATATGCCAAGGAAAAGAGCCAGGGATTCAAGGATGGCCAAACAATACATAGCAGTTAAAATTCAAGAGAGAGAGAGAAAAAAAAGAATACATAAAATAAATAAATAAATGAAAAGCAGATCGCATAATAATAAACATAACAAACTTTCCTACAAAACATGAATGAATGAATTAATTACTAAATAAAAATTATACAAAAACACTAAAAAGTGAGCATACATTCAAGGTTTTAGTTGCCTTCTTGTTACCGGAGGTAGATTTTAATATCCTCCTGAAAGTAAGAAAAGTGTGGGGTAACTTTCATAAACTTGCATTTGAGGAAGCAAAATAATTAAGTTGCATAGAAAGTAAACATTTCTTTATCACTTCTCAAAAGTGAAAATTTCAAACAGAACATCCTTAAAGAAAAGCTCAAAGTCATTTTGTGTGTGTATGTTCACATCGATGCTTAATTTGAATTTGGACACAATAAAGGTTTTAGCTGGAACGTATTGATGAATAAGCTTAAAAGAAATCTCTTTAACCTTATTTACCAACTGCTCTCACTATAGAAGAGTTTGTGTTAACATTCTAACTCGTCTGAAACGAGTGTTGAAATGTTACAATTGTCATTTCCCCTCTATTTGAGCTTTATTCTTCAATATAACCCTTCCCCCTATAGCGCATTTATAAGACAAAGCCTATTTGACATCTCAAAGTAAATTATCATAGAGTATCCATGAAAGAATTAAAGCCACATTTAAAGATCATGTTCAGGAGAAGATACGTAAATAAAGGGGAAAGGATAAATGTATAAAGTATTCACAATATATTAGTTTAGGAGAGGGGTTGTAATAATGTAACAATCTATTTTGAGCAACACTGGTTAAACACTTTTTGTTGCAATGTTATAGACTATTTCTGTTGACAAAGTATCATTCATAACTTCTATAACTCGATGAGAACAGAAAGCACAGATGATTTCAACTGAACCAACGACAGTTCACTGCAGCTCACGAGACATTCAGCCAATAAAACAACAGAAACCACGTCATATCAGACACAAACTAACCTCAAAAAAAAAATTTTATGGGAAAAAAAATGATACCAAATTTTTTTTAAGGTAAGTGATTGCAAACAATTTATTTTTGCTACATTTAAAAAATAAAAACATTTTGAAAGTTAGTCAACTGAATTTATTTAAATGTATCTAAAATAAATTCATTGCAACCTTAAAAAATGTTAGTAAATTCGATGCATTTTTTTCAGTGCAGCTGTTAACTGTAACTTATCGCCTGTTAAAGGCTGATTTATTTCTATAGAGCTTTTCATAAGACAAACTGCTTCAAGCAGCTCTATAGAAATTCACACTCATGTTTATATTTGTATGTATTTGATGAAATCTGTTTGGGTTTCTAATGCCGCGACAGGCGCTCTGTGGATTGTTGATGTGGGTGTGGAGAGCGACTATCAGACGCTCACAGAAGCATTCATCATCATCTGCTCTGAATCATGTTGATATGAGGCTTATAACCCTTCTCAGAGAGCGTCAAGAACATTTAAACCAGCATCACAAGATACTAAATACAGTGAAGAAACTGATGCAGTCAAAACTTTTTTAATGTGGTTTGGGATGAGCAATGAAAGTCCAGATTCATCTGTAAGATAGAAAGCGTCTAATTAAACTATGGCTTTGATTCTTCATGACAACATTGTCATCACAAATATTGCAAAACACACGACACACTCACTTTAACCTCTGGAAACAAAACTGATGCCTGGAAATATTCACAAAGAAGCAGGTGGAGGCAGTTAAAATGTCACCTGCCAATAATATGTGTCCCTGCAGCACAAAACCAGTCTTAAGTGTCAATTTTGTGTGCTGCTTAAGACTGCTTTTGTGCTGCAGGGACACATATGTAAAATACTCAAATTCTAAAGCAAGCTCTGAAGACTCGTCCCGTGGAGACGCTTCTACTCGTCTGTTTCTCTCTGCCGGAGGCTCCTGGACTTGCTGTTCTCGGTCTTCCTCTTCTTGAACGTGGCTCCGGCGCTGCTCTCGGCCCCCAGCGACGTGATGGTGCGCTCCTTGAATCTGGCCCTGGGCTCCGGGGGGACGTCGGCTGGAGTCTGAGCGACGCTCTCCGTCTGCGGCAGCTGCAGATCCACCTTCTCGCTGCGGAGCAGAACACACACGGACATCAGGAGCTGCAAACACTGGCCTGATGCAGAGATAGTGACAGCTCTGGTGCTTCAGGGTTTCACTTTAAAAATCTAAAGTTTAAAGTTGCAAGGAAACATAAGTAGCAACACCTCTTTTCTTCCACGTTGTGAAGAAATGTAGCAGTTAGATTGATTACTAATGCACCCTACAGAACACATCATCCTTTTTGAATTGGACATCATTGCATACGAGATGGAAAATCCACTGGTATATTTTTATTTACAAAGTTCTGTTGGGCTTATTACCTGCATGTCTTTGAATGAAATGTTTTTGATTGGATGTTGAGATGTGGGCGTGGCTCTGAAAACTGGGGTCGATCTGAACGAGAGTTTGCATTGGATTGTAACAAAGGGGGCGGAGTTTAACCAGACGTCTGTGGTTTGACTGGAACATGCAGTTTTGACATTTTGATTAAAAATTATGAAGTCAAAAAAAATTATGAAACCGATGAATTATTCACAATAAGATCAATAACATGCATTTAGAAAATAGATATTTAAATTTCATGCCTGACTTAAAATGTATTAAATTAATTCATATTATAATCGTTTATTAATATTACCAGTGTTGGGGAAAGTTACTTTTTAAAAGTGATGCGTTACAATATTGCGTTACTCCATAAAAAAAGTAACTAATTATGTTACTTAGTTACTTTTTAGGAAAGTAATGTGTTACGTTACTTTTGAGTTACTTTTTACATCTGGGCAGGGCTTGCTTGTTTGTTTTTAATATAAAAAAGCTCTTCTTTTACAAATATAAAAGCGCTTTCACACCAAAAGTGAAATGAATGCGGCTCAGGCTGAAAGAAATGTAAATTCTCGTCTGTACAGTAGAGGGCGCAGCTCAAACTAATCACAGCAGAAGAAAGTTCAACTCTATTCAGCAGCAACTCAAATTAAACACTAATGTGTCATTTCTGCTTATTAGTATGATTGAAGTGAATCATCGAAGATCAGTAGCAAAGACACTGGTTAATAAAATGGGATTAAATACATAAATCGTATTTGTTTTTTAATGCATTTAATTATTGCAGGATTGTATAATATTCTGAGTTTGTATTTGACTGTTTTTATTGATTGTGAGGAACACTGAATGTGTTTGTGTGCAGTGAGATGAGTAAACACATGTTGATATTTAGTCTAGAACTACAGTAAGATCATGTTCACACACAACGCTCTGCACTTACTCCTGATTTCTGTCACCATGGCAACACCAGAGCTGTCACTCAACACATGGAAACAAAGTAACTGCTGTTACT